ACCTTAAAGTGTGAGACCGTGATTTCCCCGTTGTCTCTCACGTGTCCGTGTGTCCTGCAAGCAGATGTGCCTGTCCTGGTCCCCACTGTCTTTTCCAGAATGTCCGGTAGCTGACGGCCTTGCAGGATAGCGATGGCGGGGCCCAGGGTGGAGGGCAGGCACACTCACTGTGGACTGTAAAAGGCTCACGTTCCGCGGGCTCAGGGACCCTCTCTGCCGTGTGCCCACTGTGTGCACGGCCCCTCCTGGGCCAGTTGCTTCCCCCACGGTCATGCTGATGTCAGGCTGCCCGCTGGGCCAGTCCTTCAAAGGACTAACGAAGTGCGTGGCCCGAACGCAGGCCCCTCACCTCCTCCCCCTGCCCTGCCAAGTCCCCCTCCCGATCTGTGAAACTGAAGGTTAACGTGAGAGCCCTCGGGTCGGACACCATGCAGGCACTTTCCGGACCCGGACGCTGTTCACACAATGGTGGTCAGAACCGACGATCTACAGCAAGACGGAGCCACTCGGTGAAACAGCAAGTCAGTCAGTGGAAAAGGAGATCTAGGAGCGCGGCAGGGGGCCCAGCACACTTTCGTGAAGCTGCAGGCGGCCACGCCGACACACGCACTTTTTAGGACTCACGTGGAGGCAAAGCCGCGGGAAATGAAAGCAGGGGAGCAAGGAACACGGTGTCTCAGACGGCCACCGCACGGGGTGGGGCAAGGCGGGGGCTGCCGGCCGGAGGTGAGGGGCACACGGTCCAAGGCTGGCTGTGGTCCTGGCTTTTGCTTGGGGTGGTGGGTTTGCAGGTGGCAGCTGCATTATCAAAAACAGCTAACTAGTAGCTCGTCCACCATCCACTGGCCGACGACGGAAGTGTGCTGTGAGTCGGCAATTGCGATCAATGTGCTCTGCACACGTGAGTGCGGGCAGATGGGGATGGATGATACGCTGATTCAGCTAATAGATAGGTGGGTGATAATAACTAACGGGGTAAAGCTTGGCCAAAAACACCTTCCTGACTGAGGTGATGCCCAGAAGATGAAATGAGAAAGCATCATTGGGAGCTGGTTTAAAGGAACTGAGAACCGATACCCTGGCAGGACTTCTCTCACACGGACACCTACAGCAGCAACATCCTACGCTGCAGAGACCAAGGGCAGCCCTCAGGCTCGCCGTCTGGGCCTCCCTGAGCTTTGCGAGGCGTCCCGGGAGAGTCCCACGCAGTATTACGGGAACTCCTAGGAAAGCCCCCGCTTGGGGGGTGGCCCCCTGAGGTCCCAGAGGGGCCAAGGGGGCCCAGGAGCAGCACAGAACCGCGGTTCCTGGTTCCAGAGGCATGTCCGCCAGCCCTGGAGGTAGCATGAGAACACAGGTGCCCGGGTCCCAGGAGCTCAGGCTGAGCGTAAAGCATCCGGCGGCGGCTCTGAGCACG